AAAAGTTCGTCAACAGACAAGTATCAATGTGCAGAATGTGGAAAACATTTTGCCACAAGTTCCAACTTGTCACGACACAAACAAACCCATAAAGCTCTAACACCTGAAAATGCTAAATCTTGTCATATTTGTAACAAGAAATATGTCAGCACTCCTGCTCTTTCAATGCATATTCTAACCCACAATCTCTCACATAAATGTGATATTTGTGGAAAAGGATTCTCCAGACCCTGGCTTCTACAAGGACACATGAGAAGTCACACCGGAGACAAACCTTTTGGATGTGCTCAATGCGGGAAAAAGTTTGCAGACAGATCCAACTTGAGAGCACACATGCAAACCCATTTGAAAACATATCTCTGCCATCGCTGTCCCCAAAAATTCAGTTCTCAATCCAAACTAATCAAACATTCAACTGCATTCCATTGCTCACAGATATAATCATTGGACTAACTTTGTATAAATTGTATATTTTTCCATATGAAATATTTTTTTTACATTTCAAACATGTATATATGTAAATAATTGTAAACCATTTAGTTATGGTCAACGGAGAGTATATTTAGTCATCACAGAACCAAAACCAAAGCAGTATTTTGCTAGTCATGTAATTTATATTATTACAAAGAAAAATAAATATTTAATAAAAAATACTAATTTTGAGAGATGGATATGAAGGGATATGATGGATATGAAGGGATATGATGGATATGAATGGATATGAAGGGATATGATGGATATGAAGGGATATGATGGATATGATGGATATGAATGGATATGATGGATATGATGGATATGATGGATATGAGGGATATGATGGATATGAAGGGATATGATGGATATGATGGATATGATGGATATGAATGGATATGATGGATATGATGGATATGATGGATATGGATGGATATGAAGGGATATGATGGATATGATGGATATGACGGATATGATGGATATGAATGGATATGATGGATATGATGGAATTGATGGATATGATGGATATGATGGATATGATGGATATGATGGATATGATGGATATGACATATATCCATCATATAAAGAAACTGTAGACGTAATATAGTTAAAGATAGAGCTACATGTAGCGCCCTGAATTTCAAGTATTAACACAATTTTAATGCTTCACTTGAGAAATGATTATGATTTAGTTTGTATGCAAAATAAGTGAATAGATTAAGAATTCAGATCCTGAATAGAATTGGTTAATTTATATTTATATATCAATTAAGTCCTTCTAATTATTCAGATTTTCAAGTCTCACATCACACTAAATTAAAAACATGAATAATGTTGTAAAATGAACCAGAACCTTAAAACTTTCAGCTTTTATCGCAACTTCAGCTTTAGGTCCATTTATCCAGTATTAATGATTCGACTTTTGCGACCTCTGTTTCATTTTTCATGAGAAAAACAAACTTGTTTGGTTGAGTTAAAGGATTGTATGAACTAATTCATCTTTTATCAAGAAATCCTCAGAAAAAAAGAATTGTGGTTGAAAGCATGCAAAAATTACATTTTTTTACTAATAACACTCTTTACAATCTTTTATTTATTTACTCCTTTTACTGTTTTTTATATTTTTACTCTATTCAATTACTCTCTGATCTACTCTCTTACTCAATCTCTTTACTCTCTTTACTCTCTTTTCTCTCTTTACTCTCTTTACTCTCTTTACTCTCTTTTCTCTCTTTACGACGCTCTTTACTCTCTTTGCTCTCTTTACTAGCATTTTTTTCTTTTCTCTCTTTTCTCTCTTTACTATCTTTACTCTCTTTACTCTCTTTACTCTCTTTCTGGCATAACTCTTTAAACTCTCTTTACTCACCTTTCTCTTGGAAGATTTGGACCATGCACCCATCCTACTTCTAAACCATTAAGTCACTAAATCCTCGGAAATCCCCCCCCCCCAACCCTATCCTAAACCAAACCCACGTGCCTTTTACTTGGTTTCATTTGTTTTCAATTGTTTCACTGACAGGTCTGTAACCGGAAACTGAATTAGCCTAAACCGGAAGTTGAATTATTAAGCCTGCTTGCCTATACAAATATAGAGCATACACCCTTCTAATACTGGAGAAACAAGGATTAATCTTAGTCAAGGATAAACCATTTAGTCTTATCCAATATACTTTGTTATGTATCTATTCTAAATTATATCCAATATACTTTGTTATGTATCTATTCTAGATTATATCCAATATACTTCGTTATGTATCCATTCTAGATTATATCCATGTATACTTTGTTATGTATCTATTCTAGATTATATCCAAGGATGTAATGCAAGGAAAGTTATTTTAGAAGTGTACGCATCTTTTATACTGCAGTTTACTGTCTCTGGGTGCTAATGTTAACACAAGACGGATGTCGAAGCCTGACATGGGATCCATCTTTCACATAAAAAAATCAATGAAATATTCTGGTCATAGGAAACTATTATGTGAATTATCAAAATTATCAAAATTTAATGCTTTTAACCTCCTCGGATACTAAACGAACACTGATGCATCTATTCTTGTTTACAAATTCCGCCCAGAGAGAACTGGTTTCAGTATGTACGCAGAGTATACGCGACAGCAATTAACTTTCCTTGCATTACAGCCTTGATTATATCCTTTAATGCATAATTCTTCCAACTTAGATGCTTTGTATTACCGCGCAGGCCTTTATTTCCAACAACTAAATCTCTAAATGCATATTTAATATCCATGCTACTAGGACGTTTTAAGTTTGAGATATTTTGTGGAAATCATTATGATGTTAGTTTATGAGAGAAGAGGTAGAAAAATGCCATTAATTAAACTAACTATATTTAGCACATTTTAACAAAAAGCAATAACTACTTCTATTTATTGGAGCTTATTTGATAAATAAGTAAATAAATGAATTATTTATTCTATATGTACTATATCTGCTCCCGTGTGACAAAATGCTAAATATTTCAATATTTCAAGTTTGTTTAAATCTTCTATATCCTGGGTTTAAAACTAGAACTAGGGATTAAACTAGTGAAATATCTCCGGAAGGGTTTAATTTTGAATAGATCCCAGGGGGTTCCGTCCTGCCATACTTTACACAACCCTTCGGTATCCGTTCCAACTCTGTTCCAACCCCGTACCAACTCCGTTCCAACTCCGTTCCAACTCCGTTCCAACTCCGTTCCAACTCCGTTCCAACTCCGTTCCAACTTCGTTCCAACTCTGTTCCAACTCCGTTCCAATTCCGTTCCAACTCCGTTCCAAATCCGTTCCAACTCCGTTCCAACTTTATTCCAACTCCAGTTTAACTCCGTAACTTCATATTCCATGGAACTCTTTAAAATTTTAGTTATAATAAGTGAAAAAATCTAAAGAATCTACATCTAATTCTAACTTTCAATGGTTTATTGTAAATCTGTCACTATTGCAAAACCTATATAAGAGCGAAACTATTTCAATAATATTGTCCAAAAATAACTTGTGTAGTTACCGCGCGCTAATATCCATGAGAAAAAAACTATTTACAACCCGCCCCCCTTTCCATACTACGGAAACCCCCCCCCCCCTTCCTCTCTTCTATTCCCCAGAAATTCCCACATAGAACTAAGTTGACCTGCCTAGTGCCTATGCCTGTGAACCAACCACCCTTTCCGGTTCTGCTTCCCCCCCCCCCCTCAATAAACCACTGGCTCTACCAATGCAATAGTTCACATTCATGAGACCTGAAAGGAAAGAGGGGGGGGGGTATTATGCATAGACTTTATACAAAAATAGGAAAGGGGGGGTGACAAATTTGAGGATTAGAGTACAGTGTAGGTTTGTATAAAGGTGTGGTTGGGATTAATACTATAATGGTTTTGTCGGTCACACGACTTGACCCCTAATCAAACCTTTCCTTCCGTTCTATGTAGCTTTGCATAAAGTTTATTGACACTAATGCAGGGCCAATAACCTAATATGGGATAAAACCCTTTATTGTCTTATAAAGGAATTAAGTCTTTGCCACAAACTTTAATTCTCTAATCTTTGCAACCCTATGTACTTAGAATTCTGTTCTTAAATTTTCTCAATCATAGAGACATGTTCTTAAATTTTCTCAATCATAGAGACATGTTCTTAAATTTTCTCACTCATAGAGACATTTTCTTAAATTTCTTTCTTAACAATTAAATTTTTAGAGGATGAAATATTGATTGAGCAATTTGGGGCTGAGGGGAGTCGGAGGAGGGGATTGTCTAACAATATATTTAGGTGGGAAATTGTTGCATGTTTTGAGCATCCTGTTTTATACTTTTAGTTTTACATCTTGTTCAAGGGTTAACAGGAAGGTTAGATAGATAAATAGATAGAGAGAAGGGTGACTGGAAAGATAAAGGAATTGAGTCTTTGTCACAAACTCTTATTTTCTAATCCCTATATCTTTGCAACCCAATGTCATTGAGCTTAGATAATTCAAACTATGAACTCTGTTGGATCAAATAATCTATGAATGAATTATCAAAGGTTTACACTATCCGGTTGCAAAGATATGGGGATTAGAAAATTTAAGTTTGTGGCAAAGACTCAATTCCTTTATAGAAAACAAGTTGGTGTAAAGACTTATATCTGTATAGAAAGAGAGGTTGATATTAATATATAAAAACAAGTTAGTAAATAGATTGAAATATAGAAATATTTATGAGATAGATAAGATATAAAGAAAAACGTTTAAGGATTAATATGCAATACAAGTTTTATAATAGAATAATTTGATAGAAATAAAAAGATCCATTTAACGGAATTAATTAATTTATTGACGAAAAGGTGTTTGATGGTAAGGGTAGGATTCATCTTAAGAGACAACAGTAAATAGATTCTGGAGTTTGAATGAAAATTGAATGAAAATGGTGGATGAAAGGATGAGTGGAAGAAAAATTAGATGATGTAAGTGGATGAATGGAATGAAGAGAAGAATATAAGATATGACTGATGAATGGAGAAGGATAGAAGATTTATTGAATGAATCGAATGGAGAGAAAAATATTAGGTATGATGAAGGGATAGATAGATGGAAGGATAGAAGCTAAATATATGATGGCTTTAAAAAAGGATAGATAGATAGATGAATGAATGGAAGGATGGATGAAAGTAGGCCGGATAGAAGGGTAGAAGGATGAATGGATAAATGGGATAGATAGATAGAAGGACAGATAGAAAGATGAATGGTTGGAAGGATGGAAAGAAGGATAGATAGATAGAAGGATAGATAAAAAGATGAATGGTTGGAAAGATGGATGCTGGGTTTATATCTGTTCGCACCTGTATACAGTGTCAGGAGATCAGGAGATGAGAGAAGATTGGGAGAATGTTAGGTAAAGGTTGAGAGAAGGTTGGGAGAATGTTAGGTAAAGGTTGAGAGAATATTGGGAGAATGTTAGGTAAAGGTTGAGAGAAGGTTGAAAGGTTTGGAAGGACCCGGCAACGCTATATTATTTATATTCTTGTAGTTTTCTAACTTCTAAATTTTTAATAAAATCAAATGTTTTTGTATTAAGCTTTTTAAAATTAAGAAGATATCCGTTTTTTCACTTAAAAAATTGATTACTTTAAGTTGTGGTTCCTTTATAAAAGTAACTAGCGGATTTTTGCAACAGAAACAATGGAGGATCTTGTCAAAAAAGTAAACACTTAACAAACTAAATAACAACGATGATTTTCACATTATTAATCAAATAAAGATTTAAAAAGTACCGTTATGAATCGGGCCTCCTCCTCTGTAAAAAGAGAGTTAATTACCATACCACAGTCCCTTTCATAGTTTAAAGTTTGAAAATCCCGTTATTCCCTTTTAGCTGATCCAGTGCTCCAGTTGATGAATTATATAGATTGCTAAGTTGATATATAAATAGTAGAAAAGATGTAGTCACGGCTGGATGGTAGGGGGGATCTGCTACAATAAGTATAGGGGGGGATTGGGATGGGGGATAAAGGACTATGTAAAGGGGGGAGGGAAGAAGGGGATATAATACTGAATCATGTGTTAATCACAGCTAAAAATGTTGAAGGTTAAAACTAAAGTTTGGTTCTTGATTTACCGTAGTTTCACTGGGCTGGAACGATATTGTAGAAAGAGAATAAAATACTTAAACTATTTAACCAAGCCAAGCCGTTTCTGATATTAAAAACTTTCTATTTAGCACAATAAAATATGGTCAGTATTGAAATCAACTTTTATTTTTTATTAAAAAATGTTAATTTTCAGAAATACAATTCAAATACATATAAATATTCAAATAAACAAGCAAATGTATTCTAATGATTAACATAATTAATTTGCATTGAAAAATAGTTTTATGTCGTGTTTCTTTAAATTAATGTTTTTAAAATCATTATTTCGGAATTGTTGATTTAAATGAGAATAGTTTTATCATCAGCATTTAACTGTGACTTAAATATTCAAAATGGATATATATAAATGACAAAAAGTACAAAAATATTTTAATAATTTAAAGAACTTATACAAATCTTATGGACATTATGACTAAAAGAATTTTGTTTGTTTTGACTAACTTAAGTCTGATATGGCTTGGTTTGGTCTGGAAAGGTTTGGTTTGGTTTTCAATGATTAAGTCTGGTTTTATTTAGTTTATTTTCATCTGGTAAAGTCTGATGATATAGTTTGGTCTGATATTGTTTGGTCAGAAATAGTTTAGACTGAAATTTGTAGTTCATATATGGTTTGGTATAATATGGTTTGGTTTGGTCTGGTCTAATATGGTTTGGTTTCGTCAAACATAGCTAGGTATGTTTATATTATAATCGAAACCACGAATGTTTCTCCCATGTCAATATTTGACCACAACTTTAACTCTCATAACCCGGAATATACGGGGAACTTCTAACGGGGGGAATGGGTGGGGGGGATAGTGACTATTTATAGTATGGAAAATAAGAAAGGGTGTTTTTGACTTTGTAAGTTGAAAAAAGCTGTATATGAGAAATTCTAAAGACTAACTGTTGCTAGGAAGGTTTTTAGTGAATATACATTTGTCGGAGGTAGGGAGAGAGGGCCGGTTCGGAAGGTAGGAGGATAGGAGGCTAGGAGGATAGGAGGATAGGAGGATAGGAGGATAGGAGGATAGGAGGATAGGAGGATATGAGGATAGGAGGATAGGAGCATAGAAGGATGGGAGGGACGAGGGTAGATGGGTAGATGGGTAGGAGGATAAGAGGATAGAAGGATAGGAGGATATGATGGTAGATGGGCAGGAAGGGTAGGATGGTAGGAGGATAGGAGGATAGGAGGGTAGGAGGGATAGGAGGATAGGAGGATAGAAGGATAGGAGGATAGAAGGATATAAGGATAGGAGGATAGAAGGATAGGAGGATAGGAGGATAGGAGGATAGGAGGATAGGAGGATAGAAGGATAGGAGGATAGAAGGATAGGAGGATAGGAGGATAGAAGGATAGGAGGATAGAAGGATAGGAGGATAGGAGGATAGGAGGATAGGAGGATAGAAGGATAGGAGGATAGGAGGATAGGATGATAGGAGGATAGGAGGATAGGTGGATAGGAGGATAGAAGGATAGGAGGATAGGAGGATAGAAGGATAGGAGGATAGAAGGATTGAAGGATAGGAGGATAGACGGATAGGAGGATAGGAGGATAGGAGTAGGAGGATAGGAGGATAGGAGGATAGGAGGATAGGAGGGTGGGAGGATAGGAGGATAGGAGGAAAGGAGGATAGGAGGATAGTAGGATTGGAGGAAAGGAGGATAGGAGGATAGGAGTAGGAGGATAGGAGGATAGGAGGATAGAAGGATAGGAGGATAGAAGGAAAGGAGGATAGGAGGATAGAAGGATAGGAAGATAGAAGGATAGGAGGATACGGAGGATAGGAGAATAGGAGGGACGAGGGTAGATGAATAGTAGGATTAGAGGATGGGAGGGTAGGAGGGAAGAGGGTAGATAGGTAGTAGGATAGGAGGATAGGAGCATAGAAGGATAGGAGGGACGAGGGTAGATGGGTAGATGGGTAGGAGGATAAGAGGATAGAAGGATAGGAGGATGTGATGGTAGATGGGTAGGAAGGGTAGGAGGGTAGGAGGATGGGAGGATAGGAGGGTAGGAGGGTAGGAAGGATAGGAGGATAGAAGGATAGGAGGATAGAAGGATGGAAGGATAGGAGGATAGGAGGATAGGAGGATAGGAGGATAGGAGGATAGGAGGATAGGAGGATAGGAGGATAGGAGGATAGAAGGATAGGAGGATAGAAAGATAGGAGGTTAGGAGGATAGAAGGATAGGAGGATAGAAGGATAGGAGAATAGGAGGATAGGAGGATAGGAGGATAGGAGGATAGGAGGATAGGAGGATATTAGGGGTAGGAAGGATACTATATATAATGTTTGGTTGCTAGGAACTAGTTAATGGTGGGCACTGGTTAATCATGAATGTGGAAAGGAATGCGAGGAAGGATTTCCTCTGAAGGGTGTGTCAGCATCAACTCAGTGATTTAATTGGGAAGATCCCTTCCCCATCCCCACTCTCCTAATGCCCCCTACCATTTTACACCCTCCCCTCCCCCTTTTCCTTCCTCCGATTCTACTTCCTTACTTCCTGTATCTGAGATTAGAGGGGATGCTGGAAGCGCGTAAAGTATGCGTGTATGTAGCAGGTGCGTGCGCGCAATGTTATTATCTGCAGCGCACAAAGGGTGCAGAGGGATGTTTATTGTCGTTAAAATTATTAATAAACAATGAATGAATTTGAAATAAATGTTTGATTCGAGAATGCCAAAATTTGAAAATAAAATTCGTCAATTTGTTGAATTTTTCGTGAAAAAAAAAACAACAAATTGATTGGAAAAGAATAGATGCCAATGATCTGAGCTAATATACATTCAGAAAACCAAACTTGTTTTTTGAATGTTAAACTTCTAATTGTTAACCAAACTATCATCGGGCCAGACCAAACTATCATCGGGCCAGACCAAACTATCTTTTGGAAACCAAACTGGCGTTCAGTAAAACGCGAAGCGCTTTTACTTTGTGTTAAAAACTAAGTAAAATTTTTTTAAAAAAACCAAATTATTTCATCTTAAAAATCTAGCTGTTTAAAACCCAACCTTTGTGTTTAAGTATAGTAACTTAGTTATTTAAAAAACAAATAGCTGGCAAAACAATGCCTATATGATGAAGAAAACCAAACTAGCTGAAACCAAATAGCTGGCAAAACAATGCCTTTTTGATATAGAAAACCAAACTAGCTGAAACCAAAAGGTTGGCAAAACAATGCCTTTATGATGTAGAAAACCAAACTAGCTGAAACCAAATAGCTGGCAAAACAATGCCTTTATGATATAGAAAACCAAACTAGCTGAAACCAAATAGCTGGCAAAACAATGCCTATATGATATAGAAAACCAAACTAGCTGAAACCAAATATTTGGGAAAACAATGCCTTTATGATATAGAAAACCAAACTAGCTGAAACCAAATATTTGGCAAAACAATGCCTATATGATATAGAAAACCAAGCTAGCTGAAATCAAATATTTGGGAAAATGATGCAAACTATAAAACCCTAATACAAAGCACACTCCAGAGGGAAAAGTTCAACTTCATGCAACATTACTAGTACGACTTCTTGACCTCGTAGCTTCTGTTTTTTTGATTTTAAAGCTCCAAGCATGAGGAAAGTGAAGGAGAATCTCAAACCTTTGATATTTCAAACTTAAATTATTTTATGCATCATAGAATTCCTAGTATTAAACGTCTAAGGTCTACGATGTTGGTTGCAAAGATATATGGATTATAAAATCAAAGTTCGTGGCTAAAGACTCGATTCATTTATTTGATTACAAATGTTAAAATTCAAAATTGCAGGCAGAAAGATGTAGAGTATTAGCATTTAGGATTTGATACTGAATTAGGTTTAAGGATAAAATTAAGATTAGTCGGGGTAAGGTTATAGAAAAGGTGGTCTTCGGATATACGAATATGTATACGTATAATTAACCAGATCTTTACGAGACAGGATGAAAAGGGGTGGGTGGTTTTCTTCTCTTTGGGGAGGGGGGGGGGGGGTTCCCACAAATAGGACTAATGAGGGGGGAAGGTTAATTCAAACCCCATAACCTACAACCGTGCCGAATATTATTCCGAAAAAATTATGCACTGTATACCTTATTTTCATTAAGACACCCCTAGCTCTATATATGGTGGATGAATGAATTAAAAGTTTGGATGGGGAGCGGGGTAATTTAATTAAATTTGAAAGTATCCATATTATATTGAAGTTGTGCAAGCATGTGGTTTCTCCAATAAAAACCAAATTTTACACGATGCCTTCGAATAGTCTTCTCCTAAATCTATCTATCTATCTATCTATCTATCTATCTATCTATCTGCCCCCTGAGAATGTTTGGTATTGATGTGAACCTAAACTCCAACCTATCCTATAGTTTGATCCTCTACGTAAACCCTGCAACCATTGTCATTCGATCTTATCCTTCCGGGCTCCCCACCTCCCCTCCTCTCATCCTTCCTGCTTTTCATCCTGCAATCCTCATCCTCTCATACTTCCGACCCCCCCCTTCTTCCATAGGCATTATCATCTCCCATCTTGTTAACCCTAGCCACCCTTTAGGGTTAAAACAATGAATATGATTTGTTAAACAAAACTAAATCTTTATAATCCGAACCCGTTCTCTTCTCATTCATCCCCTCTCCTTCCGGTTTAATCGAATCATTAGCTGATCAACCCATTGTTTCAAGACGCGGTATTATATAACCCACTCTTTGGAAGCAAAAATATCAAAATATCAAATGCCAAATGATCAAATGCTTATTTATGGAGTACAAACGCAGTACGTTTCAATTATGTCTACAAGCTAGAAATGTAAACAAATCAGAGAACCCAAGCGCGTACGCATAGTAAAAAAAACATTTTATTGTTTTTATTCATAAAAAGCTTTAAACAATTTTGATATCTCTAGACACTTTCCGGCCTTTTAGTTTTTATCTCCTTCTTCTTTCCAGCTTATTTAATTTTTCAACCTTCGTCTTGTTTTCAATCTTTTTGATCCTTTGATCTTTTTGATCTTTTTGATCTTTTTGATCTTTTTGATCTTTTTGAGCTTTTTCATCTTTTTCATCTTTTTCATCTTTTTCATCTTTTTCATCCTTTCATCTTTTTTCATCTTTTTTCATCTTTTTCATCTTTTTCATCTTTTTCATCTTAAGGGCAGGACATACGGCGCAATTTCAAGTGCCCTTCTTCTTAAAAAAGTGGGGCATGCCCGATTTACAACAGTACCTTGAAACCCCTCATCTTATAAACTATGTGGAAGATATCGTCTTTTTTTCTGGAAAATTTTTAAGTTCTGATAATTTCTCCATCTTTTCAGAAGTTAGAAATGTGCGAGTCATTTTTGAAGACAAACCACAATTAAAAATAATCAGTTTTCGATAACAAAAAATTCATGGATATCTTATTCATACTGTATCAGAGAAAGCTACAGTTGTCAATCGGACATGCCACTCTGTCAATGGAGGGTCACTTAAAACTACGTTTAAAGCTCCTTTAACCCTATTCCCCCCCTGTAGTTTTTTTACATAACTCAAAAAGTATTGGTCTGAGGCTGACTCCCCCTCCCAACCTAACCAAGCAGGTGTAAACTGTTTAGTTGTTTATAGGTCCTTGCTAATTACGCTGGAATTAAACATAGTTTTAGTCGTACACGTTGCATTATTCATTGATTGATAGATAATGAATGCATGAATGGAGGGAAGAAATAATAAATGAATGGATGAATGCCAGTATTGATGATGAATGTGAAGTTTGAAGCGCACCTGCTAAAACCATTGATTTAATGAGTAAAAATCGATTTAATAAAATAACAAATTATTTCTATTAATAATTTAGCCTCAACCATTTTTAGATGGTTACAATTTTTTTTAATACAAGAAATTATCAATTATTTTGATATTTACTTATTGTATGAATCAACGTGTAAATAAATTGATGATACGCACAAAATGCAGTACAGTACAGTTTTCATATACAACAGGGAGGAGATGCAAATTTATATATTTCTTGGTTATGATGAACCCACCTTAATATATATTTCTTGGTTATGATGAACCCACCTAAATATATATATTTCTTGGTTATGATGAACCCACCTAAATTTATATATTTCTTGGTTATGATGAGCTCACCTAAAGAATGTTAAGAATTTAGTTCTCATGCGGGTTGGTGAGAAAATAAAGAAAAGATAAATATTTCTCACAAAAAAATGGAAAAAAATTACAAAAAAAACGCACAACTAAGATTGATCTAAACAAAATGAGGAGATTTTCTTTCAAATTTTGTGAAGAGTATTTTCAGTTTTCACGGTATTTAAACCTGAAGACTTAGCGTGGAAACTAGAGTATATTTTTAACCACAAACATTAAACTTTTTACCTTAAACTAGATTGTTAATTCCTTTTGTCGGGAAAGGGTTGAATTAAAATGATTTTGAATAAAAAGGGAGCTAAAAATTCTTTTGATGATTCATGATGAACATTCATTAATTCTTTTGTTTGTCACTAACCCTGTCCATTCCAGGGACCTTTTAGTTTTAATAGCAACATGTATAAAAGCTGTTGATATACAGTATGCTAAGGCAATCGATAAAATTGATTTTTCAGAGAAATCGATTTTACAAATTTGTGTGAGAAAACTGCAGCAGGCGGAGTAATCAACACCAAGCTTCAACCAATATACGATAGGGTTCGGAGCAGGAGGAGGGTTCGGAGCAGAGGAGGGTTCGGAGCAGAGGAGGGTTCGGAGCAGAGAAGGGTTCAGAGCAGTGGAGGGTTCGGGGCAAAGAAGGGTTCGCAGCAGAGGAGGGTTCAGAATAGAGGAGGGTTTGAATCAGTGAAGGGTTCGGAATAGAGGAGGGGATTGGAGTTGTGGAAGGGTTGGNTAATAGAAGAATAGTGTTCAGGTTTATGAAGAGCAGGGTTCAGGTTAGAGAAGAGTATGCTTCATGTAATAGAAGAGTAGGGTTCAGGTTAGAGAAGAGTAGGGTTCGTTCAAAGTATAATTAAAAAGGTTAGGATGACAGGATATAGTGTGTGTTTGCTCATATCTTAGCTTAGGTTAGACCAGACTTGAGGTTGAGGACTGGGGCGGGGTTTACAGGATTGAGCTACAGTTGGTCAGATGCACGCACACCTGCCAAATAAAATCACCGGCAACGCGCGCATCGAAAGCTCAGGCGCGCGCAATGTATTTTCTGGGCAAACTGCTTTCTCCGGTAGTAGGGCTTACACCATCAGGAGGGTTCCAAGCAACATGGAAATATCAGAACAAATTTTACATCTCATGGAACAGTTCCAGAAAGGATATCAGACCCTTTGGAATATTCAAGATCTACTCGCAGCTCAAGCAATCCTGGATCTGGGGTCCGTCAAGGAGAGGTTTGAGGGCTTCAGATCAGGTTCAGTTTCTCCCTGTAGTTCGGAGTCAGCATCCGACTCATCCTGGTCTTTTTCTTCTTCAAGATGCTCAACACCTTCATCTACCCGGTCCCCCTCCTTTTCCTCCTTCTCCTCAGCATACTGGGAAACAAAGCTAACCTGTACTCAATGCAACAAAGTATTTAAATCAAGTTCCAACTTGTCACGACACAAACAAACCCATAAAGCTCTAACACCTGAAAATGCTAAATCTTGTCATATTTGTAACAAGAAATATGTCAGCACTCCTGCTCTTTCAATGCATATTCTAACCCACAATCTCTCACATAAATGTGATATTTGTGGAAAAGGATTCTCCAGACCCTGGCTTCTACAAGGACACATGAGAAGTCACACCGGAGATAAACCTTTTGGATGTGCTCAATGCGGGAAACGGTTTGCAGACAGATCCAACTTGAGAGCACACATGAAGACCCACATGAAGAAAATGTTTCCATGTAACTACTGCATCAAATCCTTTTCTGACGAATCTTGTTTAACTAAACACGAGTATTCAGTTCACCGCTTGTAAATATCCTAATATTTCATCATAATTATTATTCTTTTCATTGTTTATGTGTACTGCAAATGTAAGAAATTAATAGTTTCCCAATTAATTCTCCAACTGAGTGTCCTTCTTAGTCCATCTTTATGTTTCACGATCTCTATTTTTCTAGTCAAAATGTTAACATATATTTGTATATTTAATGTGCAATAAATAATAATGAAATACAATGTTTTAATCAAAATTGTTAAAGTGGTGTGTTCTGAGATTAAAGAATCGTTCTCGTAATATATTTTGAGAGGTTGCGTGATTTCGGAGAGAATTTTTAAAATTTTGAGATATAGAAGATGCAAGGCTTCCAAGGCGCTTTTTAGATTTTTTAAATTCTGATCATCCATGAAACAACCTTCCCTGGGGTCATATAAGTTGCCTCAAAAATATTGGGCTCGATCGGTTTGTCCGTTTTTATTGATTGGATACAACTAACAGACAAGTAAAGTATGTAATAAATATCGGGTCACATGAAATTCTGTAAACCTGAAGGGTTCAGGTTAGAGAAGAGTAGGGCTCATGTTAGAGAGGAATTGGAATAAGGTCAGAGAAGATTAGGTTTAGGGTTAGAGAGGAGTATAGTTCAGGTTAGAGAAGAATAGGGTACAGGTTAGAGAAGAGTAGGGCTCATGTAATAGAAGAGTAGTGTTCAGGTTAGAGAAGATTAGGGTACAGGTTAGAGAAGAGTAGGGTTCAGGTTAGAGAAGAGTATGGTTTAGGTTAGAGAGGAGTATAGTTCAGGTTAGAGAAGAGTAGGGTCCAGGTTAGAGAAGATTAGGGTACAGGTTAGAGAAGAGTAGGGTACAGGTTAAAGAAGAGTAGGGTTCAGGTTAGAGAAGAGTAGGGTTCAGGTTAGAGAAGAGTAGGGTTCATGTAATAGAAGAATAGTGATCAGGCTAGAGAAGAGTAGGGTTCAGGTTAGAGAAAAGTAGGGTACAGGTTAGAGAAGAGTAGGGTTCTGGTTAGAGAAGAGTAGGATTCAGGTTAGAGAAGAGTAGGGTTCATGTAATAGAAGAATAGTGTTCAGGTTAGAGAAGAGTAGGGTTCAGGTTAGAGAAGAGCAGGGTTCAGGTTAGAGAAGAGTAGGGTTCAGGCTAGAGAAGAGTAGGGTTCAGGTTAGAGAAGAGCAGGGTTCAGGTTTATGAAGAGCAGGGTTCAGGTTAGAGAAGAGCAGGGTTCAGGTTTATGAAGAGCAGGGTTCAGGTTAGAGAAGAGCAGGGTTCAGGTTTATGAAGAGCAGGGTTCAGGTTAGAGAAGAGCAGGGTTCAGGTTTATGAAGAGCAGGGTTCAGGTTAGAGAAGAGCAGGGTTCAGGTTTATGAAGAGCAGGGTTCAGGTTAGAGAAGAGCAGGGTTCAGGTTTATGAAGAGCAGGGTTCAGGTTAGAGAAGAGCAGGGTTCAGGTTTATGAAAAGCAGGGTTCAGGTTAGAGAAGAGTAGAGTTCAGGATATAGAAGAGCAGGGTTCAGGTTAGAGAAGAGTAGGGTTCAGGATAGAGAAGAGCAGGGTTTAGGTTTATGAAGAGTTGGGCTCGGGACGGAGAAGATGAGGTTTAAGGTTAGAGAGAATTATAGTCAAGGCTATAGTGGAGTAGGATTCAAGATAGAGTAGAGTTTAGGCCTATATAGATAGTATGATTTGTATTTTTCAGAAGATCTCAACAAATCCTTTGAATTCTTGGTATCTTTCTTCCATCTTATTAAGATCTATCATAGTACACTTCCTAGTTTGTGACTGTCTCTCTATCCCAGGAGAACAGTTGTGAACGATCCCTTTTATTGAAATAAATGGATTATAAATCATTTAATAAACGACGTGCTGAACATATTTAGGAAAACTAACAGTTGTTGTGTGTGTTGTGTGTGCAGTACACTGTAATGTTTACATCTAAGATAATCAAATTAAAACATCTGCCACTGCTATGATGTGAACCAGGGGATATTATTCTTCAAAAATATTCGGCAATACAAAAATAAACGTGAAAACAAATGTAAAACATTAAATTAAAAATTTAAAATTAAGACAAAGAAATTTATCCCCCCCCCCCCCCCCCCTCGCGGTTTCCGGATTATACGAATGGACACGAGGAAAGATTAAAACATGAAATCCTGAATCCTTCATTCAAACTTTACATTTAAACATTCGTATATTCATTTAAATCAAGAAACTTTAGATTCCATTAATGCCTGTAATAATTAAAAGATTAAAAGATTATATAATGCGTTAACACTGCAAAGGCTGGGTGCATTGGGGGCAATTTCCATCCTCCCTGTATTTTATTTTACGTTGCGCTATACAGGGTGTCCCAATAAACATGGGAATTCAGTACGAATTCGATATCGTCTTTTCAAATAATTATTTGTATAGTGATACCTACTGAGAAAGCTGCAATCTGTAAGAGTTTCGTCTGCTATGTTCACATTTTGTTTGTTTATGTTTTGACTGCATACGGTCTTAATAAAACAAGAAAATTGCAGTATACAAACAAAGTGAACTTGTCCGTCTTCACTGTTCATCTTGCGGAAACATTAAAGACAAATCTTTACAGTCTTTTACCATTTTCATAAAATGTCCTTATAGCAACGAGTATTTATTTGTCAAAATAAAAGAAATAAAAATGTCCTCCTTTTCAATTAATTTTGGTTCAGAAACTTTGAAGATAATTTCAGAACATGAAAAAACAATAGACACCGTTAAACTATGATATGAAAACTGACCTACAGCAATCCGACATATTAGGTTTTCGAACTTATTCTCGTGTAGTTTTTACGGATTTGAATGTAATGCCCCATTATGACTACGTTTATATGCCCCCATCTACATCTACATCCCCCAACTCCAGCAATTTCAAATTTCAAAGGTTTACATTTTACACCAGCATATACCTAATCTAACATTGAGTTATAAAAAATTTAAGTCGGAAAACCATTAGGTCAGAAAAAACGCAGGTCAGTTTTCTTTTGGTGAGATGAGCGGGATGGGATCCTATTCCTTAGATGTTACATAATACGAAGGTATTCTGGAGAAGACGACATTTTAGGAGATCCCAACTCAGGACAATTGGATACACTAGAAAAGGGAAGTTTGCATTCGACCACGAAGAATACAGTGAGAACCAGAAAATTCTGGATAGAAAGACGACTTTAAGACTCAAGTCTTTTAAGACTTTTAATAAAGCCCATTAAACATGGAGACACAGATTGAGCAGTGTGAAAACATATTCAGATAACTTAATAATTGTGATTTAAAAAGGCTTTTTGAATCAATTACGTAAAGTTATTATTTTAATGTCGTCTTCTTATTTCAGAGTAGATCTTATCATCTCATTGTATCCTATAATGCCTGATATTTCTATTAATTGAGCAACAGCTACTTCTCTTATTAGTAAATCTTCTGTGTGGGATTGCGTGCAGAATAAAAATATTGCTGAAAATATTGGAGGGGGGGGGGGGGAAAAAACTATGTATCTATAGTTTAAGGATGGATGTGTTTATGTTGTGTATTAAATGAATTGAATCGTAAGAATGGTAGAATGTTTGTTACTGTAGAATGCACAAAATCGATAAGAGCAAGTTTAAAAATATCAGTTTGTGCGGATACTCTGCACTCACGCCAATACAAGCGTGTTTAATCTATAAACAATCAATAAATCAATATATTTAAATACTGGAGAAATATGATATTGTGTTTTTAGCATTTCAAAGTTTGTAAAGAACTAAAAATGATCAAATTAATAATTTTTAAACTAAAATTAAAGATGCAGTTTTTATTAAACTAAAATTGAAGAAAACAATCAGCTTTAAGCATGAATATTTGGTTGCCCACAAAGGATAATCCTTTATTGACGACCTAAAACTCCTTTAAAAACTCTAAACAATAAAAAATTGTTTCTTCTCCTTGTGGTTAATGATTATTTACACTGTACAGTGTAAACATCTATTCAAAGGCCTCTTCTGCATTTTAAGTAGTTTGTAAATGTCGTCTTTCATATATTTGCGGAAATCTTTCCAGCTCGCGGAGTCGTTATTTCTCTATCTTAAAATGGTCGATCAGATAAAGTCTCGGATTGTGTACGATCAGATAAAGTCTCTGATTGTGTACGATCAGATAAAGTCTCGGATTGTGTACGATCAGATAAAGTCTCGGATTGTGTACGATCAGATAAAGTCTCGGATTGTGTACGATCAGATAAAGTCTCGGATTGTGTACGATCAGATAAAGTCTTGGATTGTGTACGATCAGATTAAGTCTCGGATTGTGTACGATCAGATAAAGTCTCGGATTGTGTACGATCAGATAAAGTCCCGGATTGTGTACGTAAAATATTTAGAATTAAATTAATTATTCCCTTTTTCACTTCCACTCCCCCTTGACTTCCTACACTCTTTCCTTCCCCTTCTACGCTCTTTCCCCTCCTTCGCCTCCTTCACCTTCTTCTCTTCTCAATAACTTCCACTCCTTCCCCTTATTTCCCTCCTTCCCCTCCTTTCTCTCCTTTCCCTCCTTCTTCTTCAACTTCTTCCCCTCCTTCGCCTTTTTCCTTCTCAATAACTTCCACTTCTTCCCCTTCTTTCCCTTCTTTCCCTCATTTATCCCATCTCCTCCCTCTCCCCTTCCAACCAAGTGAGTATAATGTTTACAACTTATATAATTAAATAAAACCATCTGGTAACTGGATATATGTCAATCCATCAATCAATCAATCAATTAACCAGCCATGCTGACTGTATTTAGAATATGAAAAGGGAAGGGGGGGGGGGTGTTACTGTTATTCCTTTCTTGTGATTAAAACCTGTTGATAAAACAATATTAAAAGTTTCTGAATTTTTTCCTAATTCCTCGATAAAAGATAAGATAAAATTCCAAAAGTAGGCGCAAGCTAGGGATGTGCATCGTTTTCAAGTAAGCTTTTAAAGGGAGTGCTCGCAAAAATGAAAGGAAGTTTAGGCTGATATCGAACTGAATGTGCGTAGCATCCTTGATACAAAACTGATAATTACATGAAGAGAAAAAGAACCCTGAGTAAAGATGGAAAGAAGAGAAGAACTAATTATTACATGAAGAAAGAACCCTGAGTAAAGATGGTAAGAAGAGAAGAACTAATTATTACATGAAGAGAGAACCCTGAGTAAAG